AGAAAGCAAATAAAAACCGACCAATCAGATTAAAATAACTAGTCAATTAAAAACGGGGTAATTCTTTATTTTTTATTCTCAGCCAACATTGTAAAACACCAATAATTAAAAATGAGGTGTGTCTTATATTAAGAATATTAATAATTTTTACTAAAAACAAACAAACAAATTTGAAAAAACATAAATGTTGTAGAAAAAGAAACAAAACGCATTATAAACGCAATATATATATATATATAAACGTACTATAAACGCACTATATATATTTCCTTAACGTCATCAGAGTTGTATTATAGCGCCAACTACGATTGCGAAAAGGGATCACTATTTCTTACGATGTTTATAAAATTACGTTATTTAAAGTCTAATTAATTTGTCGCTTCATGATAAATAATGCAGGCTTATAATATACATTCACATAACAGTAAGCAATGAATATCTATATGACGTCATGCAAACAAAAATGGACATAAATTAAATTGATATCTTATTAAAAACATTTTTTTAGATATTAGGCCTAATCTTATATTTTGCTATAAATATATAAACGATTTAGAGTTCATCTCTTCACGTGTTTTATATAGGCCTATATATATATATATAATATATATATATATTATATATATATACGGAAGCTTTTATAATTGGTTTTATATATATATATATATATATATAGACAAATATACATATATATATATATATATATATATATATATACATCAAAAGCTTTTATATATGGCTATTGGATTAATATATTACCATTGTTAATAATAGCATATTCTCATTAGTTCTTATCTGATTTTATTTTGTATTGCAATATAGGGCCTAAAATATTTTTTTCAACCAGAAACCTTTTTTTTTTTTTGATGGGCAAACAAAAGTGTTAAAATATAAATATAGTATCAGTTATATACTGTTATACTGTTTTTCATCAATGCCAAATTAGATTGCTATCAAGGGCCTTCAAAATCAGCAATTCCAATTTTGAATATTGTACATTAATTATATCTAATTTAAGTGTTTTTTCGGTTTGAAGTGTACCATTAATTGATCGAAAAACTACAGTACTGAGGGACGGCTTGAATCAAATCTATCGCCTCTGCAATTCAAAGACAAGATACATCTATTTCATTAAAATCAATATTACGTAATAGATGATAATTTCATGGTCGTAAGCAATGATCAACAAGAAAAAGTGTACAGTGAAAAACTAAATAAAAGTAGATTGACTAAATCAGAAAACTATAATTGATTACAAGAGTGCTATAACTACAATTCGAGTTTTTTAACCTTCACAGAAGCGTATTTGCAACAGAAATAGTCGTTCCAATTTAGATTATGATTAAATACTAAGGTGCATCGAACAATACCGTCGAAATGTGTAGCTGTTCAATCAAAGGTCTTATAGCAAGATAAGGCACTTTGACTCAAGTGAATCGTTGTCTCTGAGGCAGTTTTCGCCATTATGCGACCATTTTCGATTACAGGCAGAGTTACAAGATGCTTTTTGATGGCTCGCATAATATAATAATTCTTAAATTAGTATATGTTCAAGATGATGTTGATGGTAGTGATAATGTGTTGAAATTCACTGTACTAATGAAATTAATTACACTATTAAAAATATAATAAATAAATACGAATATATTGCGTGTTTGTTTTCATCATTATTGATTATTCTTTTTCACAACTAATACACCAATTTTTAAGTGGCATAATCAAATTCGGTGAAGCTCTGATTCCTCATGTTTTACCACAATTTTTCAAAGTGAGGGGGCCCACTTATAAGATTAATGGGAATATGAATCATGCAGATCTGGAATCAAATCTAGGTGGTGGGGTCAACATTCCTTCCCCGGGAAAATGTTGATTTCTAGATGCCGGGAAATGACCTTTCTCGCTTTTGAGCTGGGTGTCTAATGACTTTGTTCTTCAAAATTCAAGGTTTTCCCCCTCTTGAAAACGGTAAGGTAAACTTTCTCATTACAGTAAATAGACCTGTTATATGTGTATACATACATTTTAAAAAATGAGTAGTTGCATACGTATTATTTTTTTCATGAATCGATAAATCCCAAAAAGAAAGGGGGGTCCGGGGAAAAGGAAAATTTTGATTCCTAGAAGGCGGGAAATGAGCTTTCACGACTTCTGAGGTGTCTTTTAATTACTTTTAAGTTCTTCAAAATTCAAGGTTGTCCCCCCCCCCTCTCTTGAAAAGGATTCAATTAATCAATGAACTCCAAAGATAAAGGGGGTCCGGGTTCCCCCGAGAAAATTTCGATTTCTAGGTGGCGGGAAATGAGCTTTCCAGACTTCTTAAATGTCTTTTAATTACTTTTAAGTTCTTCAAAATTTAAGGTTTCCCCCTCTTTAAAACAGTCAGGTAAATTTTTCTCATTTTTTATTTTATGTGTGTATACATACATAAATAAATGAGTAGTTGCATGCATATTCTTTTCCATGAATCGATAAATCCCAAAAAGAAAGGGTGGTCCGAGGGTTCTCCCCCGGGAAAATTTTAAAGTGTGTTTTAATGACTTTTATGTTCTGCAAAATTCTAATTTTAATTCTAAAAAAAAAAAAAAAAAATCAGCTCACGGGTCCTGAAAAGGTAGGTCTAGAATTCTTTTCTTTTCCCCTTTTTTTTGTTGCCCAAGGGAGAAGTCAGGACCCATGACCCCCTCCTCCAGATCCGCCAATGTGAATTGCGAGAAAATGTAACTCGGTCGGGTACTGGATAAACATTCTCTTTCCCCTCCTTCTCCTTCTTCCCTCCTTCTTTTCTAGCATTTCCGATCATACAAAAATCTCCTAGCATTATATATTTTTTTGCCAAAAAATGGGGGGGCCCGGGCCCCCACGGCCCCCCCCCCCCGGTTCCGCCGGCCATGTTGAGTAATCACTTGTGGACACTTTGCAACACTATTCTTTCACACTCAGTTCTTAGAAGTTGTAACATTGTTATCAATAAGGTAGTATAGCCTCCTTTTCGCTAAGCCCCGCCCCTTGCATATTGTTGCTAAGATCCCACGACATGTGCAAGTGTACGTTTTATCTATTGACACTTCAAAACAGTCCATCGATCCTCCTACTGCAACATTTTATAAATAGAAAAGTTAGTGATCACTACAAAAATGCGGTATGCGCGTAGACAGTTGCGTAACGCCTATGTGCTCTCATGCGGCGGTCCGCAGAGCCCCCGAATTATAGGGGCCCCGAAGGGGCCATACCCATAGGTTCCTCGATCTAGCACCCTGAACAAAAAGGACTTTGTTGATAAAAATAAAACCATAGTGTGTCTCTGAAATCGACTGTAGGGTATATATCATATTATAATGATTAAAAAGAAGGGGCCCGTCGGCCCGACGCCCCCCCCCCCTCCTCGGCCCGAGACCACACCAAATTTGTCCAAAAAAAAAATAAATAAAAATGGAGATAAAAAGAAAATTATATTTACAATTTGAAGTCTGTGAGTGCCATTTCCGGCCAGCTGGACGTGCCATAATACATTTCTTATCTCAGCCCCACAAGGGCAACAGCATAATGTGTGTCTGAAATTGACTGTAGGACATATCATATTATATCCAGTGGCGGAATAAAGAGCGTGGGGGGGGGGGAGCTGCCGGTCCGGGGCCCACAAATTTATAAAAATAAAAAAAAAAAAAAAAAAAAAAAAAAAAAAAAATAATTTTTTTTTTTTTTTTTTTTTTTTTTTTTTTTTGTGTATGTGAAGTGCTATTTCCGGCATCTAAAGGTGCCATATTCATAAATGTTTTTGAAATGGGGACCTAGAGATCTCCACGGTTCAGCGCACACACAGTGGCTACCACCAGATTAGCCGACTGAGCTAAGCTGCTCTCCTTTGAATCATGGAGGAAATATATTATTATTATTATATTATGTTTGAATGAATACTTCTATCGTAGTTTTTTTTTTCTATTTAAATTGATTAAATTGATTGATGTTTTACGCTACACTGACGCTACTATATAGAAGAGCAATGTAACAATTAGAGGATTTTGCTGCTAAAGACTAGGGCGACCCCGATCCCAAAAATGGTCTTTACTTGGAGGGAGACCTGTATTAATGTTGTTATTTTTGTTATTTATATTACTGTTATTATTAATATTGTTATTATTATAATTATTATCGTAACCATTTTAATTGTCATTATACTTAGGCCTATACTTATTCTTATTCTTATTATTATTGTCATTATTATTATTAGCTATTATTCATGTCTTTTTACACCCATATTTTGTACTACAGTACACTTTGCTCAGGCTTAGTGTTCTTATTTTTTGGCCGATTTCAGGCTCAAAATGTTCTTAATTTGTTCTTATTTTATACACTTTTCAAACATAGAAAATTATTATTGTACAGCAAAAATGGGCCCTGAAAAAAATGCCCTGGAAAAATTGCCCCAGAAAAAAGGCCTGGTAAAAATGGCCCCAAATGACAGTACACCTGATTATAGGGGGTATTACATAGTCACACCTACATTACTGCACATAAGGTACAAATATAATTTTTTGGTTTTTCTAAAACCTCATTTTGACATTTTACCTCAGCCTCAATTTGTTCTTATTTTGTTCTTAATTTTTAAGCAATTTCAGCCTCAGTGACCTTATAAAATGTGTTCTTATAAAAAAAAAAAGTGCACATCTTCTATGTGTTAAAAAGAGTAGATCTGTTATTCATCTTTATAATTCATTCACTCTTGGTACAGATTTGCTTAGTCGTAGTGTGGGTCTCTATAGATTTGTGTGAACGCCCAAACACTTACCAATCGGCACTTGAATAATTATTGCTAAATGTTATTTGTTCTATCATATATTTGAATTAAAGAAGCTACTCAAACGTTTTGTGTTAGGTGGTACTTATGAAAAAGAAAATTATATAACCTTAAGTTTTCGATTAAACGTAAAATCATCTACGCATGCCCAATATGTTTCCCAAAAATGAAAACGCGAAGAACAGTTCGAGATTATGCATGACGAGCGTTACACTGCACTTTAATGCCTTCGAATCCATACCATACACATTTCAACGTATGCTTCTGGGGCATAAATATGGAACTCACGAACTGCTCTAACGCTACATGTACTCCTCTCTATGACGAATACTATGGTGAGACAAATATTACTTTTGAGAAAAATAGTACTGAAGAATCAAATACAGAGAAGCCAGGGAACAGTTGGGATGACGCTACGTGGATACTAACAAGCTCGTTTATTATTTTCACTATGCAGTCAGGTACAGTACGTTTAATATCAACGTTCTTTCTCATTCTTCTTAATCAGGCCTTCTTTTCACTTTCTTCTTAATTGTTCTTTAATTTGTAAATACTGTTATTACATTATTATTATAATTATCATTATTATTGTCATTATTATTATTGATACTATTATACTATTAATATTGTATAGGCCTATTATTATTAATATTATTATTATCATTATCACTATTATCATCATCAACATCATCTTCATAATCGTCATCATCATTCTTATTCAATTCAATTCAATTTTTCATCCCACTAGGGGCAATTTAAAAACTACACCGAAATACATCGAAATAACAATAGTTTTGTTTCAATGATCTAACTCTACGAACATTTATTATGATGAATAAGATATATAATTTTATTTAAAACGCTCAATTGTATACAATTTTAAGAATTTAAAATCCGCTTCTAGTTTTTGTTGATCTTTTGTGCTTTTTAGCTTTGTAACGTCAGATGTTTACATTGACCAACACACATATACGTTTACACCTGCGCTAATAATATCACGTATATTCTTTACTTTAAACCCTCTGTACTTGTAGTCGATTTATTGGTTTCTTAATTTTTTTTTTTTTATACTCATAATGAAGTAAAAACATTGTTAGTCAACATTAAATCTAGTTGGTATGGTATATTTTGTCCAAAGGTCCGAAGACTTATTCCAATGATGACCTTCTGGTGGTGATTTGGGCAGTACACAGAAAACAATCCGCCTTTACTCTTTCACCGTACACGTTGGTCTTACCGCCAGTGGCGGCTCTAGGATATCATTTATGGGGGTGGGGAGGCTAAGGTGTCCGACCGGGAAGGGGGACTAAGGATTTATGGGTGTAACTAAAGCGCGCAGTGCTGCCCCCCCCCCCCCCCTCTCTCTCTCTCTCTCTCTCAATGCTTTGGTTTCTCTTCAATTCTCAGAACTTTAGTACCACAATAAAGTTAGCAAAAATGTTTGACTGTAGAATGCTGGAAAGCTTATAAACAAAAGCTGAAGCAAATGTTATTAGTTATCATAATTTGTATTATATTACTATTGTCATAAACAGGTTTTGGGCTACTAGAATCCGGAACAGTCACTCGTAAAAACGAAGTAAATATCATGGTCAAAAACGCAATGGATGTAGTGTTTGGTGGTCTGTCCTATTGGTTATTTGGTTATGCGTTCATATTTGGAGACGGCTCGTTATCCAACCCATTTTGTGGTAAGTTCAACCTCCATGGTTCAACCACTATTTGTAAGACCATGATGAGGTGTCCGTGTCATCAATGTTTTCAATCTTACCGGTGTTTATGGTTTTCATATAATCGCTTCACTGTTGTCGCAAACATATTTTTTTCTGCAATCGTTGCACTGAACAACCGACCAATCAGCGTCGCCGAAAAAATCCGGCGATGTAGTGTAGCGATTTTATGGAAACTAGGCTTAATTATTATCGACAATTGGTTCTCGTAAAATACAGATACACTGTTACAGATATGAATTGGGGATTGACTCGAAAAATCTAAATTGACAATGTCACCAGATTGTATAGTGTTCGTAGCATGCGAAAGCTTCATATTAACGAAAATTAATTGCTTTTCACGAACACAACGGTTGTACTGAATGGTTTGAGTAGGCATATTAGGAAGGTGATTATGTTATCTTACCAGATCTTACTTACTTCGCTTCAAAATTAACTCGAAATACACAATGGACGCTTTCAAATGGGATTTACAATGAGCTCAATACATACGGAATTGGTACAATTTTTTTATGATAAATTATCGATAATACAAATAACACATCATTTTGTTTGCTTTCATTACGTGTTTACACAAGAATATAAAGAGCGAGATGAAAACATAATAGATTATACAATTTATATCATATATCAAAAGCAATATTATTGTCAACACCTTGATTATTATTTATTCCGCAATTGTATCTTTCGCCCCCTATGGGGGGTCATCAAACAACTGGCAGCCTAATGTTGTTTCTTGTCACAACATATCTAAATATGAAAGGGAAACAAACAGGTGACAGAATGGGTACCGTATAACAACAAGAAACAACCTTAGGCCGCCAAACTCAGAGTAACATCCAAGCCACAAGAAACCATTGCGGAATATATAATAATTATATAACGCTCTGCAGCTCTAGTATCAAGCACTATATCTGCTAATACTGATACAATTTAATTTAATTTATATATATTAGGCCTATATATAATGCATATGTAATATATATGTAATGTATATATAGGCTTATATATATGTATATATAATACATATGTAATATATATGTAATGTATATATATATATATATATATATATATATATATATATATATACATATATGTAAATCATCAAATTATCAAACAAAGGTAAATACCTTGTTCGAATAAAGGACATTATAATACATCATGTAGCATAGCTCTCAACGAATGGTGCCCTATATATAAATGAATAAATAAATTGTGTAATAAAATGCCTCCGAAGGATATATATATATATATACAGTATATATACATATATACTGTATATATATATATATACTGTATATATATAGTGTATATATATACAGTGTATGTATATATATATATATATATATATATATATCCATATTTTAATCCATTTATCAAATCTGTAGTAGTGACATGTTGTCTACTTCCTAGCTCCACAATGTTATACAGCATCAAATTACTTGCACAGCTTATCAAAACAATGCATCTAGCCAAATTAATTGGGTTTCGTCAACCTATTATATGAAAATGGAATGTCATGATCAACCATAGAGAAATGGATCAACGGAAATAATGTACCACTTTTCCCGGGCTTTTTGCGAGGATTTTAACCTAATATAAAACAAACCTTAACTAAAGCTTACAGAAACGAGTTTATCATTATAACTGGGTGCCATACTTTGCATATATTTATGTTAGACCTATAATTTATATTATTTAAATGCAGTTTTTTCGAATTTCACATTGTCGTAATGTATAATTTTGTATGGTTCTTGCTCTAAAAATTAATTTGCAAATACGGCACTGTATAACGAATCTATTTCTGTCTCTTATACACATCTAGATGTGTATAAGAGACAAATATAAAAGCAATGTTTACAACAACTTTATAACAGATTTAAAGTGGCTGATCCGTCTAATTAAAGACTGTTTCGTTTGTTTGCAAATAGGGTTTGGACATTTCGCAACTGATGCTTCAGATGATGATGAGATGGGCTGGACCTACGCTCGTTTTGTGTTCCAAGCTTCGTTTGCTACAACGGCAACCACGATCGTATCTGGTAGGAGGCTTATAAAATCCTGTTAACCGTTAGACAATTTTCAATATTGTACAAGGCTCAGAATAACCCTCAAAAGGTCCGCGGAGAAAAAGCTGTGAGTACTGGGACGGATCTAGATCGAGATATTTGCAGGAGGGGTCCAGGGCACTCCTGTGTAGATGGCATGGGTTGAAATGACGTGGTGAACCATCTTTGTCTTGCCACCCTCCAATTTTCTCTAACTTAGAAATAAAGAATAACTTTGAATTCGCTTGAAAAAATACTTCTATAAAAAAAAAACACAACCAAAAAAAAAAAAACCAAAAAAAAACAAACAAACAAAAACTGTATAATTGGTGTTGTCCACTAATAAAGCACTCTAACATCTTATGGGGAGGTCCGAACGTCGCCGGCCCTCACCCCTTCTGGATCCGCCTCAGGAGTAAAATAATGTTTAGATAATCATTTGAAGCCCCCGTCTGCTAATTAATGTAACTAATACTAGGCCAAAAAAATTGTTGGTTTGCCCTCCTCCACCCACCCCTAACTCACTGAAAAAATAGGGGCGGAAAAACAACAAAACTTTAAAAAAAAAAAGTTTTTTTAGCTTTTTTCTTTACAAATAAAAAAAAATGTGAGTGAATTTATCTTTATTTTTTTGCCAGATGCCCTACAAATTAGTCTAAAGTCGTTGTCTGATGTAAGATATTGCTATTTTAGGCCTCTGTGGGTTATTTTTATTCCATCTGATGAGTATCTTTAAAAAATTAATAAAAAACTTTTTCCACCCGCCATTATTTTTTTAAAAAGAAGGGGAAACAAACAATTTTTTTTTTGGCCTTATATCTACAAGATTATATTCTTTGGCATAATAATATATATTGCTGTCCTTAAATAAATTTAAAAAGAACTTTCCAAAATGTTCAAATTTTCAACAACAAATTTAAAACAGACACTTTCTTATTCGGTAAATGTTTTTGGCGTGAGTACCCTTCGTCAAATGTAAAATGACGTCATACTTTAATCTTTGATATAGGATACTTTCTTTAAAGATTCAAGTACAGAAAGTAATTTAATTTTATAGTCAAAATGTTTAATCCATTTTTAAACTTGCATTGGGAAAATCTAATCGTGTGTGTGCTCTTTGTATACAAACAATAAATAATCATTTGGCTTAAAGTATTCTATACATTGAAATTATGATGTACTTTTAGATTATCCGTGTCATCACCATGGAAACAGCAATATTACATTGTTTGTAATTTACGTTAATTAAAGATGACTTTTTATAAGATGGTCTTAATTTTAATACCATTAAAATTCATCGAAAGAGCACGATTTATATGTACACCTATCATTTCTCAATTGATTTCCGACTTACTGGGATTAATTATTTGACACGGACTGAATTAATAATGATATTAAAAAAATACATTTTTCAAAGTTTAAATTGAACAGTTTGTTTATAATTATCTTCTTCTTACGATGTACAACAACGTAGAACCGATTATTGTTAATAATATTATTTACGTCAATTGATTACACCTGCGCAGCAATTATTTAACAGACCATGCACCTAAAACTACAAAAGTTACGTATGGACATACTTTGTTATTTTGAGCATAAACTTCGATACGTTACTATAACATGCTTTTCTTCAACACTCGCATGTACTTCATTAGGCCTACATTGTGTTTTAGAATGTATCTGTAGAAAATAAGTAGTACCGGTAATAGTAATTTTCAGAAATGAGTTATTAGTATATTTACCATTAGTGAAGTTACTAACACTACGTTCTTGAGACCACCGAGAAATACACGGGTTCGCTGAATGTTAACATTATTCTCTTTAGTATATGTTGCATATTTTTCTCCACATTCATCGCTTTTTTCCCCGACTTCACTTTCTTTTTTTTTAATTTTTTATATTCTTTTCTATTTTTATTTTGTAAACAGGGCCACCATCTTTTGTCATTTTATTGTTATGTTAGTGTCCAAGCTGAGGGTCAGAGCTGGGTAACACTAGTTTTCAAAAATACTAGCTTCCATGGTTACTAACAGTTGAACAGCCGACACGATGCACTTTTATTTCGCATGCTCATTTTCCCATTTCATTAAACATTATTATCAATATTCAAGGTTCAAAAATTGTTATTGTCCAAAAAACCGAAATTTGAGGATAATTACTTCATTGCCCTTAAAACGTAAGGACATTAGAATGGCAACTCCTGCTACCTTCGTCAACGCTTGCGTATCTATGATACTTAAGCGTATACGCTTGAGTATCTATGATATCATTGATATCATAGATATCAAGTGCTGACGAAGGTAACAGGAGTTGCCGAACATTTCGCAAATAAAAATATTTCTATGTCTCCTACAAGTAAAAGCATCGTAGCAGTTTATTGTGTCTGCGTCTACTTAATTATTTATTCTTACGATGAAACATACGTAGATCCACATCAACAACATCGATTATATATGAATTTATATATATATATATATATATATATATATATATATACTGTATTATTTATATATTTATTTATATATTTT